TCGATTTTCCCCACTCAGCGACACACCCGCTGAGAAAACAACTCTGGTAATTGGAGACTCCATAGTCAGAAACGTGAAGCTAGAGACACCGGCGGCCATAGTCAAATGTTTTCCTGGGGGCAGAGCGGGCGACATTGAATCCTATTTGAAGCTGCTGACTAAGGATAAGCGTAAATACAGTAAGGTTGTTATTCACGTCGGCGCTAATGACTCCCGACTTCGCCAGTTGGAGGTCACTAAAATTAATGTTGAGTCGGTGTGTAACTTCGCTAAAACAATGTCGGACTCCGTAGTTTTCTCTGGACCCCTACCCAATGTGACCAGTGATGACATGTTTAGCTGCATGTCATCATTCAACCGCTGGCTGTCTAGGTGGTGCCCAGAAGATAACGTGGGCTTCATAGACAACTGGAAAACATTTTGGGGAAAACCTGGTCTACTTATTAGAGTTGGCATCCATCCCAATTTGGGTGGTGCTGCTCTCTTATCTAGAAATGTGGACGAGTTTGTTTTACAACCTAAATTATGACAACCCAGAGTTGAGTCCAGGATGCAGGGTCGCAGTCTTACACGCCTCTCTGCTGTCTCCTTGCAGCTGCTACCCACCCAACGCTCCCAGTACCCCATAGAGACTGTGTCTGCCCCCCGCCCACCTAAATTATATAAATCAAGAATCAACTCCAGAGGAGTTATTCATAAGAACCTAATTAAAATTAAGATGACTCCTCTTATAGTAGAAAGTAATAGGACAATCAAATGTGGACTACTAAATATCAGAGCTCTCTCATCTAAACCTCTGTTAGTGAATGATTTGATAAGTGAACATCACATTGACTTATTGTGTCTTACTGAAACATGGTTACAGCAGGAAGAATATGTCAGCCTAAATGAATCCACTCCACCTAGTCACAATAACTGTCAAAGCCGTCGAAACACAGGCCGAGGTGGTGGCGTGGCAGCGATCTTTGACTCAAGCCTATTAATCAACCCTAGACCTAAACATAGCTATAAACTCATTTGAAAGTCTCACCCTGAGTCTCTCACACCCAAACTGGAAAACTCAAAAGCCTGTTCTGTTTGTTATTGTATACCGTCCACCTGCTCCTTATTCAGAGTTTTTAAGTGAATTCTCAGACTTTCTGTCTGATTTAGTGCTTAGTACAGATAAAATAATCATAGTAGGCGACTTTAATATTCATGTAGATGCCGACAATGACAGCCCCAACAATGCATTTTGTTCATTATTAGACTCAGTTGGTGTCTCTCAAACTGTAAATAAACCTTTTAAACTTGCAGTAATTAAACCTCTACTCAAAACGCCTACTCTTGACCCAGGTGTCCTAGCTAATTATAGACCAATATCCAATCTCCCATTTATTTCCAAAATCCTTGAAAAAGCTGTTGCAAAGCAGTTATGTGACCACTTGCACAAGAATGATTTGTTTGAGGATTTTCAGTCAGGATTTAGAGTCCATCATAGTACAGAAACCGCATTGGTGAAAGTCACCAATGATCTGCTCCTAGCCTCGGACAAAGGACTTGTCTCCATACTTGTCCTCTTAGATCTCAGTGCTGCTTTTGACACCACTGATCACAGCATCTTACT